ATATTTTCAACCAATTTTCTTTTCTGTTCTCCACCAACAAGGCCACTGGTCCACATGCAAAATGGGCTTATCAAATAGTTATGCCATGCTGATGGTCCAAATTGATTTTTCTTGTCAAGAACATTTCCACACGGACGTCAAAATTTACTGCATTATTCTTGCCGTATACCTATTTCCAGTCACCAGCTACTGAAGCAAGAGAGAGTTGTATTATGATAAAGCCCAGAGCGAGACAAAATTAGATGGTACTTTAAGATTGAAGCAAGAATTAAAACAGCGAGTATAGACAACATTTATCATGAAACTAAGAGCCGAGAACATTGCCGCGGCTCTATAAAACGTAAATTTCAAGGGTGACACGTATTATAACGGAAGTCGCCAAGACGGTATAGCTGTTAGGGGAACCTACTTGCGACATCGAAGGGCCCGATTTAGAATCCTGGAGAATACATGGATGTTCTTAAATGTATAGTGTCTGTGCGGCATGAAGGCACTCTAAGTATGCGATGAGCCGAAAGTGTTAGGGAAAGAGGGATGGGAGACCCTCGAGCCCGTCCCCCTGGGGTATTCTTCTTCAAAACTGGGGGCGGAAATGAGCAAAGTCGTACTGTCACCTGTATGGTCCTCAAGGCGTTGCCAACGACAGGCGCAGTCTTGCTCTCCTTGTCACGATGAATTTCGTGGGCTTGGAATGTCACTGTCAGGCAAGTGAGATAAGTCACAACAACAACAATACCACATATCATAAGGTGGAACATCTCCTAAAGTTATGTACAGAAGGTGGGATATCATAAATACATGCACGGCAAATTATCTAAGAAAATAAATGATACGGTATAATGGATACAATATAAAGGATACAATATGAAAGAACCAAAGCAATGTACATTTCCCAAGGTACACATACAATGAGGCTACTAATGGTAAAAGTATTAGCGGCGGCGATATGTTTCTCTGTGTAGACGGACTGGCGTAAGCGCCGCAGATGTGTCCTCTTGCAGACTGGCTTTTTAGCGTGGAACTATCGCATTTTCCCTTTGAACAACGATATAAAGGATGAGGCCAAGCTAGGACGTTTACTACACTTTTAAGGAATGCTCTGTAACCCCGACAGCTACTCAATAGATTAGGTCGCTATATAGATCTGAGCTACAAGCGTATACCCTTGTGATGTGGGAACTCACACAGAATCTCTATTAGCCCTATTAGGGTTTGTCGACAATAATGCTAAATATTTATATAAAGCGAAATTTGTTTTGAAAAGTGAAGATCAATATAGCTTTAGTTGCCAGAATGATAATATGAACTTAATATACCATTAGTCAACAAATCTTGAATCGTTTTTAAGTCATATTAAGGCACGAACATTCGTATAAAAGTTTTTCCCTTTTGAATGACTCTTTAATGCAATTGAAATTTTAAAACTGTTTGTTCTTAAAAATAAAACAACCTGTAGAAACTTCATGTTTTAATTTCCTTTTAAAGAATCTATATTTAGAAAACCTAAATAAGAGTATTTTTAGCAGTTATAAATTTAATGTATAAAATATAAAAAGTACACTGATTTCTTTCAGTTGTACTTTTATTGCGCATAATTTTATTACTGCTGCTGTGAAAATACTGTGCATATAATTAGCACACATAATTATAAGGAAATATTTAATAGAGCATTTACAGGTACTTAGGTTAAGAAAATCCATATCAAAACAATGTAGCCTGAAAAATGCCGCGTGAAGCATCGGATAATGAAGCAAATAATACATAGTTGTTGCAAACCTGCTTACTGATCCAGAGACGTTTCTGTACAACAGAATATACATGAATGCACTTAGACAAACATTTGTAATCGAACTTGCTAGAAGCAAACTCTCATAAGTAATAATACATAAGTAACCACATATAAAATAGCATTTCCATCTGCAAAATATATAGGTCACCGCATATAGTAGTCATCAATAATTAACAATTTAATCCTAGCTGCCTGGATGTATTTTTTAATGTGTTTGTGAGAAACGAATTTTCAAACTTTAAAAAAAAAACAGTAAAATATGTTGCTTAAATAGGTCCGAAGTAAATCGAAGCCTGTCAAAGAGATAGAAAATTACACCTTTATGGGGAGCAAAAGTAGTGTCTTTGCGTACAAAACAAATAAAAAATAAGCAAATAAATAAAAATAAACTTATAAAATAAAATTATATATTCATGAAAATATTGTAAAATCTGGGAACTACTGAGCAGCTTCTACACAATAGTTCATGAGTTTTCAATTGTAATACAAATGTGATTCTCAGCATGTTATTTCAAGTTTATTATAGTATAGTATTCTAAAATAAAATTAAGTGTTAGGAATTTTTGTAGATTTAATAGACAGTTTTCACGATTCATCATGTTCAGTATTACGAAGAAAAGAAATTCTTTTAACCATCACAGCAATGACTTTTGAATTATGCCGAGTTACCTGTAATACTTCCTTTTCAACTAATTGTATTGAGTAAAATTAACTGTATTGATAATGCACCATTTGAAGAAGATAAAATAATGGCTGATACTATTAACTTAGTTTATTATGGAAGAATGAAATGAATAAGGTAATATTTACTATTTGAAGTCGTATTATTTTACAAATGCGATTTCGGAAAGGTAATATGAAGTTTCTTCGACTGATTTTTTAACATACAGGCCATATCAGTAAACAGTTTCAAGCTTCAGTGCATTTTGCTCTATATGTGCTCTGGATATAAAAGTTTAAGCATAAAAGGCAGGAAGAATTATAATAAGTAGAGGTAATTATTAAAGTATTTAATATATACCAGAAGTGACAAATTATTTTCATGAAGTACACTAACATAAACCGAGCCGGCATTTTAGATAAAAATAAATATGCCCAATATTTCGTTCTTTAAAATTTTTAAAAGTCAGCACAGACTTTTGGTTTCCCCATTTTAAGCATAGGCATGCGTAATAAAATTTTTAGCTTGGTTTAAAGCAAATTGATTTCAATTTATGATATAATGTATAACATAATTGTAGGCCAGTATCTTTAGAAATTCCTTTGCGTTTCCATCACAGGCAAATACTCCTAGTGTGCTTTACTATAATAGAAAAGTCCAATCAAATGTTCAAATAGATAGATTTAGATAATTTAGATTATGATAAGATGCCAAAAATACTTCCATTATTTGGTTTCATATTTTACCCTAAATTATTATAGTAACGATTAAAGTTACCTTCTGATGGTTCTCTTTAGAAACTCAATGAATAATGTAGGTGTTGGAATGCCTGTAAGTTTTAAATCTGGTAGATCCTCCAAGCAATTAATCAAACAAGCTTGGCAACCTCCGACTTCTACCAATTCATTTTTATAGGTGTGGCACTTAGCCAAAGATTATCTGGAATTTCGTGCAAATCCTGCGTGTTATCATAACAGTTCTATAATCTTTTCAGCGCTAACTGTTTCACAAATGCTACACGAAACTGGGATGAGTTCCAGAAATACTTTTTTATTTCGTCAGCGTAAAACCACGTTGTTTTTAAAGGAATGTAAGCTACGTAAACAATAAGGCATTTGCTTTTATCTCCTCAAATTTATAGGACTTTCATTGACTCCTAAAGTTATTATCTCTCCTCCACAGCTTTAATTTATCGTTATTGTACTAAGAATTCAGATAGAGCGAACTATATTAACCTACCAATGCTACCTAATGGGAATACGAGAAAAAACAAGTAATTAAAAAAAATTCTCATTATTTCAATTATTACTTTTGTGAAATTTATTTTTTAAATAATTTATTTCAGCGAAAATAAAAGATCTTTTTATTATTTTTCCTTATAAGCACATGTTTGCGGCATTTTTGATTCTGCTTTAATGCTTTTAAATGGGAAGCAACGATGTTAAAAATAATAAACGTAAAATATTGAAAATAGTTGCTTCATAATTATTTAATGATACTCTAGGTATTAGATTTATGAACATGCAGTTCAGATCAATTCCTAAGCGAAAGACTAAATATTATCTAAATGCAAGTGTTTTAAGCTGTGGCTGATTCGGCGCGTAAGCTATTAAGCTTCCAATACCAAAATATTTTCATGTTTAATTGTCTTGTAAATGTAATTGTTTTATCAATATAATTCGTAAGTTCATTCCCGATGTATTCTAATAACAGTTCAAAATCAGGAAACTTGGCTTTAATAATAGAATTGGGGATGTATACCTATTATGGTAACATGAATATATATATATATTAAAAATCACAGATGAAGTTCAAGAAGCAACTATACCCAGGATTACATACTTTTAGCGAAACTATGAATAGTGAATACGTACGCCATTGAAAACTTAAGACGAAGTATTTCGCTACAAAAGTTTTCACTACTTTGTTTGATAAGAGGTTCAGAACTGTCAAAGGTATTGTTTTGCTCTGCCCTTTACTGCCGCCTGTTGGAATGACGCCAATATTACCGTCACGTTTTCAGTATTAGTGGCTTCTAACTTTGCTGGAGGCCAGCTTAAAATGGCATAAACCATGAAAGATATGAAGGAAAGTGTCATTTGCTTTGTTGTTGTTCGCCATTCTAATATTTTAATAGCAAATTTTACTATCATTTTTATTTTTAAGAACACGTTTTGAAAAAAAGAGAAAAAAAAAAAAGATTCTTAATTTTTAAGCCATTTATACAAAAATTTTCTCTGATACGACCATTAATTTAAAGAAATATGATCAACATAGCTTCATGTATAAAAAATTATTTTCATGGCATTTAAAAACATTAAAAAATACACAATGTACTGTGTAGTGCACACATATTTTAATAAAATGAAGCTGGTTATTCTATTTAATAAGTCATTTAAACTTATATTTATCTACCAAATTTTTAAAATTTTCTAACGAAATAACTCTATTATCAAAGTTTTTTAAACACTATATCTCTTATTTGAAATGTAAAAATGAAATACAAGATTGTTTTGAGAGGTAAATCTTATTCATTCTTTTCTTTTTCAGTTGGTTACACAACTAGGGACATTAAATATTGGTGGCGTGAGCATGAAGATTCAGTTGGAATGTCCAGTGATGTTGAACTTCCACAGTTTAAAGTCGTTGGACATAGACAAAGATCAAAAGAAGTGCCACTCACGACAGGTAAGCAATTAAGACTATGTTACATGAGAATTAAGTAGATATTAAATACATATATTACTTGGAGAAGGTATGTTACAACTGAGTTTTGTTAGCTGTCATGTAAGAGAATCACAGAACTACATTATTGCTCACTCAGTTTAAAAAATTACTTGGACATTCAGGTAAGGAATGCACTTTTACATTTTACAATATATAAAGGCATGTAACAGTTCGAAAAGGAAAAGGTAAATCATTTTTCTAAGGTAAGTCTTTCTTATTAAAATACCAAAGCATTTCTGTATGCATCAGTTTGAAAAATCAGGTCGAGAAGAAGGCCTCATACATGTAAATTTTTATAATAGCCTTTTGTATTTATTTCCTGATTTCTTTTCTTTTAGCCATGTCATACGATGTGTGAAAAAATAAAAAAGCAAGTTCTCAGTGATCATGTACTAATATATTTTGTATCATATTTATATTTTTAATTCATTGTGTGCTTTGTGGAAACATTATTTGAATTTATTTTATATTATTTTGCAATTCTTAGTTTTAACTGTTATATGCATTTTTGAGAATAATAATATACAATTATATTTAAGCGTCTCTTTATTCACTCTAGAGAATAAAATTATTATGTGAGAATTTAATTGAAAAATATTTTTGATTATAATCTGAAATTTTAATGAAGATTTAAAGCAATAATTAAAGTATTTTTTCTAAGTAACACTATGAGACATATTCTATAATAAAAAAACTGATTTTATATATATCGTGCGATGTTCTACCTATACAAACAAACCATATGTCAAGTTATTCTCTAATTCTAAGCAAAACGCTTATAACTTTTATTTACGATATAAAATCTGATACTTGCCTATTTGAAATTTTAATGGTTTAAGAATGTTAGTAACATAAAGTATAAATTTTAAGCGATATTAAAAGGGATCAACTATAATAATGTTTAAAGCGAATAAACTTTTATATAGCTAAGTTCACATTTTTTAAAGTATAAAAAAATTAAGAGCATTTTTTTTCTATTTAATTGGCTAAATATTTTTTTTACATTTTGCATTAAAATGTAAAAGCATGTACGATGTCAAAGTTATCAGCAACGGCAGAAGAGGGAATACTGTTTACGGTTTTCGGATAGAAAACAACATAATAGAATAATTCATGAAATATTAATTTATCCTTAGAAACAGATTTAAATACAATTTTTGGAGCAATTGATTTGATTTTAAAATTCTATTTAATGCAAAACGTTTTGCTTCTAAAACTGAGACTGAACCATAGCTTTAATAAAAAATTTGTTTAGAGAGTTAAGAAATACAAGGTGAAACTGCTTAACGTTTATAAAATGTAATTTGTTTATGTACGTATCACAGCCTATTAATTTATTTTTGACTTTTGGCTTCAATAAATATTATTATAACAAAATATTTTGTATGAAAAATTGCCTTATAAACCGCACCTCAGTTTATAAGGCACCGTGCCTCATAAACTGAAACTTACCTCAGTTTATGAGATACACAATCCACACTAAAATGCCAAAAATTGAGGATGTACTTTAGTCTTTCTTCACGGATAATAACTAAATTAAATTTTGGAATATTATACAGGATATTAATTAGTCTGAACATTTATGCTCAACAACTTTTAAATACCAAAAATGTAAAATTGAAAAGTTATAAGTCTTTTGTATGTTTATTTGTATTGTCTGCAATTTCTGAAAGTGAGAAAATTGCAGAGGCTTGAATTATAAAAAATTCTTCGAAACAATGTTCGATTCATGGATTATTTTAAATTCAGAAAAATAATTAATTTCTAAAATATCACTCTTTGTAAAAGGCATTTTTTAAAATGTCGATAAATATTTTAATGCAGAACGTAAATATAAAATTCAGTACAATACTTCATATTTTCCAAAAGAATAGCGTTTCATTATTTAAAATTTATCTGTTAAGTAGTTTAGTAATATTCACAGGCAAGACAAAGGGGTTCGATTTAGAAAAAAAAAAACACAACCGCCATTTTCAGAACTCAAAATTTTATAATTGTTCATTTTTTTAAAAAAATAACAATAATTGATAAAAAGACATCTATTATTAAACCTGTAGGGTTCCTAACTCCTTGTATAAGATGAAAATCGAGAAACCTAGTGAACTATGTAGCGACTGACCGTTCAGTTCAAAACAACTAAGACGTAGATTCGAGCAGAATTAAAATACACTTTTATTCACTCGAATACGAATAACAGTAGACCTCTTCTCGGGCTTACGGGAAGCCTCTACTCGAACTTTAACTTAGAATAAGAAATAAGAAACTAAACTACAATTAACTAAATGAGACTTAGCCGAAGCTAGACACAGTTATCTAATGTAGTTGGTTCTTAAATTAAACTAGCCTGCGATTATCAATAGGCACGTATAATACGGACGAGCGTTAACAGCTTCAAGAATGACTTAGCCAGAAGGCTAAGTCTCGGTACTAATGACTCTATCCAGAAGACTCGGTACTAATGACTCTATCCCTCTCTAACATAGCAATGCCGTAATTTAGGAATCTATTTAAAAATAAAAATTATTTATTTAATACAACAAGTATAAGTCAACCCTGAAGCTTCTAGCATAATGATTGTTCTAATTTTCTATGAAGGAGGAATGTCATTTATTCATGAGTTGATTCCAAGCACGGAAGAGAATACTGAAATAAGATTATTGACGGACCCTTTCGATAACAGTCAGATAAGAAAGAATCGATGAACGTGGATTTAGACATCCGTTTTTACCCCGCTACATTTTTAAACAAGGATTATGATCATGAATAATACCAGAGCTTGGAGAAAATCATGTAGTTTCAAATATCGTTTTACTGAATCCATACTTAAGTCTTTATTCTACTTTAATAATACTAAATAAACTAAAAGCTACCTGATTATAGTTATAACTAAGGCAGCAACTATTTTTTAGTGAAGCTACATGTGATAGTATCAGAATACGAAACTTAAGATGAAAATATAGAGCTCATTCCTCAAAATTTACGGCTTATTTGTTTAAGATATAAATCTTGCTTTAAAGACTTATATTTTTATTATTTTACAATTCCAACGTGATTAGAAACCAAACACAGACATAAAAAATTGCAGATTTTTATTCAAATATTAATTATAAATGGCAATGTCCCTTTCAAATCTTTTATAAAACAGATTGACTTTTATAACACTTATTGACTTATACATGAATGAGACGTTAGTCAAGAAAAAGAAATTTTTGTATTTCTATTCGAAAGGTTCTTTTGTCATTACATAGTAAGAAGGCAGATATAATTCTGAACAATCATAGAAATGAGAATTTCCAATTATCTCTCAAACATATTGAGTCAAGGATGTAAATAATAGTTTAATGGAAAAGTAAAATTAATGCATTCACTTGAATTTTATTCTTATTTAGTATCATAAAAATATTTAATTTAAATTTCCTTCGTCAAGTTTTAGCTTTCTCAAATTTCATAAATCTGTGACTAAATAAATTAATCTATTCAATATGAGTTTAAGTATAGCTTGTAAATAATGATCTTGCTCGTCAATATTTCATAACTAAAATTTCACAATAAAATATTTAGGGCTTGATATCTCTGCTAAGAAAAGCTTAAAATATAGAAACGTATCAGCTAGTATCGAGCTGATTAAATAATGCCTTTTTCGATTATTGTTAATTAAATCTTTTAGTTTTAATTTGGACTGAGAGGAGATGTCTGAGGCCACAATTTTATACGGAACGAATAACGAAATATGTCAGAAGAACGCAAAGCATGCATTACTGTAAATAATTGGTTCGATACTGATAATTCCGAACACTAAGCACGTATTGAGCGTTGTGACTAATAATTTGAACTCCTGCATCTATGACTATTTTTATAATGTACACGTCATGAGAAAGCTTCAGAATTTAATTTACTGCCTTAATAAGATTCACTCAGATTAAATCTGCCTGAGGAGTTAAAAAATAGCCACACAGTCAGTAATAAAGAAATTTTTTCATGCAGCAAAATGTATGTCAAAATCCAGTTTGTGGTTAATTAATCCAATTAAATGGTTAAATGACAAGTCATACTTTGTAACTAGACATAAAAGTATTTGTATAGTAATAAATATACAAAGGCTGGAAACTAATGTAAAAATCTAAAAAACATTCGAAACTCTGTTTTAAATATCACTTCACAAGTAGTGGAATTATAATCTTTTTGAAAAAAAAAATATTCTTCTCTGCTTCGTATATCATTTGTTAGTTTGATATCATTTTGAATACGAATAATTCAATGCCTTTTTCAAAACTAAATGTGTCAGCAAAATTTGGAAACTCGGCAGATAGCTACAGTGTTTCAATTATCTTTGTATTTGCTAAACATTCATGACATTTTGCGCAGGCAACTAAATAAAATTGTTCAGAATGAATGTATCTGGTATAAGTATTTTGGAATAGATGTCTTTTCAATATATCATTCAGTTCTTTATTAATATTGCATTCATTTGTTATATCTTAGCCCCAATTTATTACAAAATGTATTTGCTAAAATGTAGCTGACATTTTAACTCAGATACAACTTTAAAAGAAATTGTATAAATCGTATTCAAAAGAAATGGCATCTTAGGTTATTCAGCTACTAGAAGAATCAAACCATAAGCTAAATTTAGCACCAGGCCTTTCTAATTATCATCCTAGGAAAAGCTCAAATAACTGTACTTTCTTTCAGTTAACAGAAGGAAGAGAACCTAATAAGCTTCCCAAATGATATGAGAACACTCTGCTTCTCTTAATGAGCTTATGGAGAAAGTATTTCATTTGATTCCTTGTATGTCATAGTTCCACATTTATAGGAACTTTTAAGCTTATTTTAATCTTCTTTCATCTAAAGTTTCTTATTTACTGGTAGAATATTGATTGCAGTGAAGGATTACTGCTTTTATGTCATAAAGTCACAAATATTAATTAGCTTTCTTAAGAAAATCAAAGTCTTGAGGT